GTGTATACTTTCATCATGACAGCTTTCCTGGTTAGTTTGGCCCCATCCATCTTGCTTGCGACTGTCTGGTAGTAGGCAGGTGTGTCAAGTCTCTAGTTTGACTGCCTAGATCTGGCTAGTGACTGACTGGTTTAGGCAGGTGTGTCAGGTTTCTAGTTGGACTGCCTAGATCTGGCTACCATTCAGTATGTATGCTACTATACATTGTGAAACAATTCCATCATTCATTGAGCCTGGCAGCAGCTCAAAGGACTGTGGAATGCTCACTAGGGCTGTACAAAACAGCACTATTTCATTTCTACTTCCATTTCACTGTTTTGACAGGACAGTGTTTTGGTTCGAGTTTTGTTTCATTTTGAAGGACTGTTCCATTTTGTTTCGTCTAAACTTTTTCACTGTTTTGATGCTGTTTTGACGTTTTGCCCATAGGCTATGATGGGGAATCATGAAACTGCCTATAACTTTGTCATTCCTTGCCTGATTTGAATGGAAACAACAGGGATGGTAGCCCCTGCTGAGGCCACGAAGTCTGTCAAGTTTCAGGGAGATAGGTGCAGGGGTTTCTGGGAAATTACCTCAAGCTGCTGACAAGCAAAACTTGTGACACGTGTGACTTTGTGTGTGTGTTAAGGCGTGCCCTCACTGGCGTTGGGGCCTCTACACAACATGGTAGTGTGCCCCAATATGATCTCCTCCTCCCCTACAGCCTCAGACCAGTCCACCACTTTAAATAACAACAGGTAATAATTTAGTAAGTAGCACCAGCAGCATCTCAGGCAGCCAAACTGTCACAGAGCCTTTTTTTCCTTTCCTACAGGAGCTTCTTCTCCAGTAGCTGCCAGAGAACTCTCCCTGCCAGCCCCAGCCCTGGGGCTTAGATGTGCCCAGGGCCCTGCGTCCTTCCCGTCAGCTGACCAGGGAAAAGTGCTAGGGGAGTTGGTCTAAGGACATGTCACTGGCAGACAAGGTTCTTTGGTATAAGGTTCCTGAATAGTTAGAGGAATATATCTTAGCAAGGTTTGGGGTTGAAAAACCGTACGTCAGGCTGAGGAAGCACCTGCAGTTGGTGTGTGTGCTGTTCCTGGATGGAAGTAATAGTAAAGCAGCCAGAGGCTGGCATGCAATGCAGGCGAGAAAGCCGGTCAGTAAAAATGGAAATTGAGATGTCAGGGGGTGAGGAACAGGCTGGGAGCTGGGGGTGCATTCTCCTCTTGTTCTTGCTGACAGAAGAGTTCCTTTTTTCTGGTTCATTCAGCGTTGTTATAACATTGGATCTCAGAACTTGAGACAAAATTCCCTGTTTAGGATGATAACCAAATTCAGACTAGCTGCTAACAGGTGTAGCTCTGGCTTTCCATCCATTTAGAGCAAGTCTAAAGTTGCCCCAAGCCTCCAATTACTTAATCAAAGTAGGGTCTAGTAAGGTAACACATAATTATTTCCCTTCTGTTCTGCTTGGGAGTTTTCAAAGTTCAAGCTTCATTGGTAAATTTGGAAGCAGGGGGAAGCTACCAAGGAGGAGTATACCTACTTGGCCCACACGTGCAGGGAGGCAGTTAGAAAGGCCAAAGCAACTACAGAGCTGGGGCTGGCAACACAAATTAAAGACAACAAAATGTCTTTTTTAGGTATGTAGGGAGTAAAAGGAAGGCACAGGACAGCATAGGACTCCTACTGAACAAGGAGAAGCAATTAGTGACAGAGAGGTGGGACAAGGCTGAGCTATTCAATGAGTTTTTTGCCTCAGTGTTCGTGAACAGGGCTTAAGATAAGTTTCCTAATGGGTTCTTAGATGGGCAGAGGGACACCAGCCTACCAACTGTCAATGCTGACTTGGTGCAGAGTCACTTGGATGAACTGGATGTGTTCAAGTCAGCAGGCCCAGATGAGCTGCACCTGAGGGTACTGAAGAAATTGGCTGGTGTCATAGCAGAACTACTGGCATGGCTGTCTGAGTGCTCGTGGCACTCGGGTCAGGTCCCAGAGGACTGGAAAAGAGCCAATGTGATCCCTATTTTCAAGAGGGGGAGGAAGGAGGGTCCGAGTAATTATAGGCCAATCAGTCTCACCTCCATCCTTGGAAAGGTCTTTGAAAAGATTATGAAGGATCACATTTGTGGAAGTCCAGCGGGAAAAATAATGCAGCATGGAAACCAGCATGGATTTGTAGCAGGTAGTTCATACCTGACCAGTCTGGTTTCGTTTTATGACGATCACAAAATGCTTAGATGCAGGAGTAGGGGTGGATGTCATTTTCTTGGACTTTAGCAAGGCCTTTGATGCGGTACCTCATCCTATTCTCATAAATTAAGAGGCTGTGACACAGATGTTTACACGGTCCAGTTGGTGGCAAATTGGCTTAGCGGTCACACCCAGAGAGTGGTAGCAGACGGGTCAGTATTGACTTGGAAGGATGTGGGTAATGGGATCCCGCAGGGTTCAGTCCTTGGACCTGTACTCTTCAATATCTTCATTAGTGACTTCGATGTGGGTGTGAAGTGTACTCTGTCCAAGTTTGCAGAGGATACTAAATTGTGGGGTGAAGTGCACACTCTGGAGGGTACGGAACGATTGCAGGCAGACATAGACAGGTTAGAAAAGTGGGCAGTACACAATAGGATGCCGGACAACAAGGACCAATGCAGAGTGCTGCACCTAGGGCACAAAAATATCCAGGACATCTACTGGCTGGGAAGTGACCCTCTCAGCAGCACAGAGGTGGACAGGGATCTTGGAGTCATAGTGGACTCCAAGATAAACATGAGTCGTCAGTGTAACGAAATCATCAGCAAGTCTAACCGCACTTTATCATGCATCAGCAGATGCATGACAAATAGAACCAAGGAGGTGATACTTCCCCTCTATGCGGCATAGGTCAGACTGCAATTGGAGTACTGCCTCCAGTTTTGGGCACCGTACTTCAAGAAGGATGTTGATCAACTCGAGAAGGTCCAGAGGAGGGCCACTCATATAGTTAGAGTCTTACAGGACAAGCCCTATGAGGAGGGACTGACGGACCTGGACCTCTCCAGCCTCCACAAGAGAAGGCTGAGAGGTGATCTTGTGGCTGCCTACAAATTCACTAGGGGGACACAGCAAGGAATCAGAGATGCTCTGTTCACCAGGGTGCCTCTTGTGGTAACAGGAACAATGGTCACAAACTGACAGAGAGCAGATTTAGGCTAGATATCAGGAGAAACTTCTTCATGGTAAGGGTGGCCAAAATTTGGAATGGGCTTCCAAGGGAGGTGGTGCTCTCCCCTGCCTTGGGGGTCTTTAAGAGAAGGCTGGATAGGCATCTGGCTGGTGTCATCTGACCCCAGTACTCCTTCCTGCCTAGGCAGGGGGTCGGACTCGATGATCTGTTGAGGTCCCTTCCGGCCCTAGCCTCTATGAATCTATGAATTTCCTGAGCTTTCCTTTTTAATGGGTGCCCTTCAGTCTTTAATTTTCTATCTTTGTTTGTGAGCATTTTTCCCAGTTTTACCTGATAGCTTTTAACACAGGCTGCTGAAAAAAACCTATTGTTACGTTTTTTAAAAAAGTATTGAATGAATACTGAATGTTAAGTATAGATCTTAAGATTGTCGAAAATGAGGGAAAAAAGAGAATTTCCCTTTTATGTTCTTTTCACATAACAAGATAAGATAGAGCAGTAGATGATATTGGTGCTGCATAGTATGTGTCTAAAATGTCTGCCCCAGGCACAATTTTTGTGCTAGAATTGAGAATCCTGTGTGTTTTTATGTCAAATCTTTTGTTCCCAGACTCTAAAAAAATAATACACTTATATGCATTTAAATGATGGATTAAATTATATATACCTCTAGATAGACTTAACAGTCTTAGAAAAGCAGCAGTCTGGAGTTGAACAATCCAATACAAGCCACAGGGGGAAATGAGAAGCTTGCTGTAGTTATTTAAGTTGTCACTTGGTGAAGGCACTGAGTATTCCTGACCCTGCAAAAATAGTTCAGCACATTATGGCGATGCTGATGTTACAGTTAGCTCATCACCCGTGGTTAGGACTTCTAGTTTTTCATCTGTTCTGGGGGGAAAAAGTACCTCCAGCAACACTGTGTGTTCTAAAGCTATTCTTGAACATTGGTTCATTGTTGAGTTCTGTGTAACAAAGGACAAATTCAGTCTTTCCATTGGAAAGTTTTAAAAAAAAAGGAAATGCTTCTGTGTGCTCCAAGACAGTATTGTACCCGAGGAAAGCAACGGGGACAGAAAACACTTTTAATCTGCATCTGGAGAATTATGATTGCTTCAAATTAAAACATTTAGCTTCTGTAAATAGGTGCAGACATTTAGCAGATATATATCTTGATCTTGTGGTCAATCTTTTGAGTATTTCAGCTTGTGAGAATGAATGAAGCTTGAATTAATCTATGCATTCTTGTTTATAGTGTCAGTAGTTCGTTGATCAAAAATCGTTTGTTCTAATAGGGTTATAGTATTATGAGACTATATGAACTAACTGTCAAATTCTTTGCAGGGTTACCTCTTTAACTTCTAGCTGTAAAGCAATAACACTATATTACATAAAGCATCTCTTTCCCTTCTCTTTCCCCAAGTGAACTGAGCATGGGCTGAACACAGCAGACATCAGTTCAGAGCTAATCTGAACTGATTAGGCACAAAGAACCTGAAAACTGATGTTAGAAGGAGAATACCTTATTTTCTAATGATAGCTGATGTTACTTATTTCTGTAAAGAAAAGCTAATAGGTTTGCTAATGTAAATCAACTAAGGCTATTAATCATTCTGCTCAGTTGTTTAAACAAAGCAACACAGTAGAATGTGTTTCCCTCATAGCTAAAACATAGGGAACCCTCCCTCCCATATAAAGTTTTATTTTCTGCAGGTTTTTTAAGAAATTTTAGATTTAGACTTTAAAAATAAGTATTACCATTTAAGTTCAACACACACCCACACAAAGAAATAACTGTGTGCGGGTATGCATATTCTTAAACCAAGTATGTCTTCTTTCTCAGGTAACATGCATGTGTCACTGGCTGAGGCCTTGGAGGTTCGGGGAGGACCATTACAGGAAGAGGAAATATGGGCTATATTGAATCAAAGTGCGGAAAGTCTTCAAGAGTTATTCAGAAAAGGTAATCTGTTGCTTCAGAGTTGTAATACGAGTAGTTTTGAAGTCCCTTTGAGAAAAAAAATTAAATATCTTTGGTAAAAGGTGTTGTTGGCAGCGGTGGCAATCTCTCATGGTCAAGAATGATCACTCCCACAGGTCAAGTAACGGGTTGTAAATGAGTCCATTCATGGATAAGAAAGCCAATCCTAGAGCCACAGACTCTGGCAAACACCACAGGTGGTGGTTAAAAGGAGAGTCGAACCACAGATTTCCTGGTCTAGTTCCCTTTCATACCGTTTCTGTTGTCACTCTGCCTCCAGGATGAGACTCTTCCTCAAAGTAAAATGTACCTTCTCTCACAAGATGTTGCCATGTAGCCTTATTCTGGGCTAGTTTTTCCCAATCTATGGTTTCAATGCCACACTTAATATTCACCTCAAGGGTGTCTTTGAAGCGTTTCCACTGGCCCCCTGGGGAGGGGGCAGGGAAGGTGTGTAGGGGGGAGATCAATGCCCCCTGTGGTGTGAGGGGGTGAGGGCAGGGACAGGTGCTGCCCAGATGGGGCGGGGTGGGGAACGGGACAGAGGTGCGGCTTGTGGGGTGGGGG